ACTGAAATTTTCAAAATGAAAATTATACATTGTTCTTTAATTTATGTCATAATAAAAGAAACCATCAAGGAAGAAAAGTGCTTCAAGAGAGAGCCTAGAAATCCTACTCTCTTATCACAGTTTGGATAACCATGGTGGCTTTTTATGACCAAGAATCACTTGGTTGTTCTTAGTTGCTGGTTGTTTTTTTTTTTTAAGTTTATTTTGAGAGAGAATGAGAGAAAGAGTGAGCAGGGGAGGGGCAGAGAACAAGGGAAAGAGAATCCCAAGCAGGCTCTGTGCTGTCAGTGTGGAGCCCAACACAGGGCTGAATCCCACAAACCATGAGATAATGACCTGAGCTGAAGTCAAGAGTCGGATGCTTAACCAAATGAGCCACCCAAGCCCCCTAGTTGTTCTTTGTTTTATACGTGGTTTCTTTCTCTAATGACTGTTTAAAATAAAAGATCACACTATCAACAAATTCTCAAATAAAATTCACCTAAGTAAAGGGGTGCCTGGGGGCTCAGTCAGTTGAGTTTCTGACTTTAGCTCAGGTCATGATCTCGCGGGCTCGTGAGTTCGAGCCCCTCATCAGGCTCAATATCAGCATGGGAGCCCACTTCAGATCCTCTGTTCCCCTCTCTCTCTCTGCCCATCCCCTGCTTGTGTTCTCTCTCTCAAAAATAAACATTAAAAAAAAAAAATTCACCTAGGTATGTTGCCCACTCTCTCTTGTATTTGCGCTGTTTCAGCTAAGCCCCATGAAGCACAGTCTAAAGTGGAGAAGGAGACCTGAATTAACACAGACTGACCACATACCCCCATACCCAATAGCATTATCATTTGATACATTACCAGATAATAAAATGAGGAGAACCAGGGAAATGTTGCATTCAAAAGAGCCCTGGAGGCATTTAACACATTTAGTCTGTGTCAATAACCTTGGCCCACCAACCTTCCACACCCCCATTCTGTACCCACAAAAGCCAAGTTAATAGGAAAAACTAAATAATATTCTTTACCCAATTTCCCCAATTTGTCCTTTCCCAGAATTACTTGGGGTGCTTAAGAAAATGAAGTTTCCAAGCTCCCTTTCCTAGAGAGTATATGGCAGTAGATCTGAGGTGAGGCCCAGGATTCCCTATTTTACAAAACGACTCAAGTAAGTCTTGTCAACAAGTAGGTTCAAGAAACACTGCAGGTGCTGGCTTTCCCCAGTAAACCTTGCCTAGTTGCGAGCCGATCAAGAAGAGCCTGGGAAGGTAGCTGCTGAAAGGGGAGAAGGCTCCCATGGTCAGCTTCAGCATGGCCTTTGGAAGCTTGGAAGGCCCTGAGTCACTTCTCACTGCAGCATGGGGCATCCCCATCTTTCTCCAACTGTGACATGGGGACTCGGTTTTTTCTGGTGTCCAAGGATCACCTCAAGGCTCTAAAGATAGGGGTCTCTCCCATAGGCCTGTCACTGGCCCAGGGTTATTTTATACATATTCTCAAAGGCTGTGGTATCGTGGCTCCTGGCTCCAACTGAACTTGGCGCTGACTGCAGACTTTATTGATAGAACTAGGGCACATGCAACAGGCAGCTGAGTGGGAGTGCTCCTGAACCCTTGGCTTCTATTTTTGTCCTAAGTGCCTGCAGCTTATAGATGCCCAAAACATAACGTGTAGTGATGCTTTCTCACAACCACCTGCCGGCAGCTAAGCAAAATTCTAGAGACCTTGGTTGCCTTGCAATGAACTAAAATCTTGTACTCAGACAATAAAGAGCCATCCTTCTCAGCCTCTTGTGCTATTAAGTTCACACATAATAGTAATAAAATCTAACAGTGGGCATTTACTGTGGACTAAAATCTATGCCAAGCCTTTTACAGGCTTTAACTTCATTCACTCATCTTACAATTTATTATCAAGAGCCCAGTACTTTGTAACAAGTGCTGAGATACTTCAGTGAACCAAACAGACATAAATCCTTGAAATCACGGACCTCCCGGTTTAGGGAGGAGGCAGACAATAAAAGTTACAGACAAGTCAACTATGTAGCCTGCCCGAAGGGATAAGTACTAAGTTAAAATTTTTTAAAGGGAAGAGGGGTCCTGGAAAGGGCATGTGAAGGAGAGTGTGGTTTATAATTTTAAGTATGGCATGCAGGGTCCAGCTGAGGTGAGACTACAACACCTCACCTGAACTGAAGGAAGGCAAGACTGGGCTGTCCGGACACACAGCAGAGCACTCCAGCAGCAGACACGCCAGCCCAAGGCTCCTCAGTCAAGAGTGTGCCTGAGTGCCCAGGGAGCACAAGGAAGCCCATGTGGCTGAGTAGAGTGACTGAGAGAGAAATGTGGGAAGGCCAGAGAGGCAACCAAGGCCACACTGGGAGGGCCTAGAGACCACTAAGAGAACTCTAGCTTTTCTTCTGAGAGAAATGGGGAGCTAGGGGAAGGTTTTGAGTAGAATGACGTGTTACAATTTCTATTTTTCAAGATTACGCTGGCTGAAGGGTTAAGAATAGACTGTGAGGGGGATTAAGAATCTTTTTGCCAGAACCCTTGTGAGAAATGATGGTGGCTTGACCAGGGAGATGGTGGTAGAGGGAAGAGCAATGCTCCGAATCTGGATGCAGAGCCAATGGAGCTTCCTAAAGAATGAAACAGTTTTGGGGCGCCTGGGTGGCGCAGTCGGTTAAGTGTCCGACTTCAGCCAGGTCACGATCTCGCGGTCCGTGAGTTCGAGCCCCGCGTCAGGCTCTGGGCTGATGGCTCAGAGCCTGGAGCCTGTTTCCGATTCTGTGTCTCCCTCTCTCTCTGCCCCTCCCCCATTCATGCTCTGTCTCTCTCTGTCCCAAAAATAAATAAATGTTGAAGAAAAAAATTAAAAAAAAAAAAAAAAAGAATGAAACAGTTTTGTAACTTTGTAATGGTGACAGATGGTATCTAGTAACTAGACTTATTGTGGTGATCATTCTGTAAGGTATACAAATACCGAATCATTGTGTTGTATACTTGAAACAAATACAATGTTACATGTCAGTTATACTCCAATTAAAAAATGGATTTGATCATGAAAAAAAAAAGCCACATAGTTCTCACATATGGGGTCTAAGATAAAGAAGGGGGTTAAGGATGACTCCAATAAAACTGCCATTAACTGAGACGGAGAAGACAGATTACAGGTAGAACAAGTTTAGGAAATGCGAGAATCTTGTACTGGACACACTCAGTCTGAGAGCATTCAATATCAAAACGGAGATATTGAATAGGCAACTGGATAGATGAGTCTAGAGTTAGGGGAGAGAAACAGACTGGAGATATCCATTTGACAAATAACAGTTAAAGCCATGAAAAAGAATATAGTAACAGCGTGAGTACAGAGAGAGAAGAGAGGCCCAGGGACTGAGCTCAGAGGCACACCACCACTGACAGGTCATGGAAGGGGAGCAAGCACAGGAGATGGATGAGCAGCCTGGGAGGGAGGGAGAAGACACAGGAATGGGCATCACAGAAAGCAAAAAGAATATCCCAGAAAAGGGAGTGCTCAACAGGGCCACATGCTGCCTACAGTTCACAACAGATGAGGACTGAGAGGTTAGAACCACAACATCACTGACAACCTTGACAGAAGCAACCTTGGTGGAATGGTAAGGGTGAAAGACGGAGAGTGGATTTAAGAGCCCGGGAAGAGAGAGATTTAAGAAGTTTGTGATTATTTCCAATTCACAGATGAGAAGACAGCCTCAAAGAAGTCAATGGCCAGGACACACGAGGCTGATGATATATGCACTCTACACATACATAATCCTTAATGAATTCATCTGGGAGGGAAGGGTGAGAACATGGTCAAGATGTAGACAGAGACTTGATACCTTCTATTCTTTTTTCCATTAACAAAAGGACCTTCTGAGAGGAGAAAAGACCTCAAGTCATGATTGATGAAGGCACCAGGGCAAAGAAGCAGGGGTAGAAGGCAAGCCTTTGTACAGGGAAGGGAGCAGCAGCATCATCTTGTGTTCCATTGTCCCTAAATATGGGCACAACCAGTTCATCTGAACATTGAAGACTGGCTGCAAAGGGCCAGTTCCATTGCCAAAAGGAATGCCTCCTGCACCAGGTGCTCCATGGAGTCCATAGAGCATCCTCTGGGTTCTTTAAAGGGTTAATTCTCTCAAGTCTGCTTATTTCCTCCCCAAAACTGCTGAAACTTTGTAGTCTCACGCTTAGAAGCTACCTGCCACAACCAAGAAAATGTGCAGAGAAACACATGGAGGTGTCCAGCATGCATCAGTGAGAAGAGCTCCAGGCTCCTGAGGGATGTGCACCCCTGAGCACATCCATGCCTACCGCAAAAGAAGTCCGACATCTGCATCTCACAGCACCATCCCCAATGCCAGAAACCATTTCTCCAGTGCACTTCAGCACCATACAGGAAGAGGCAGTGTAGATAAGAGAAGGAGCTCTCACTTCCAAAGGCAGGAGATGTGGGTTCTGGTACTGGCTCTACCACAAGCTGTGTGAAAATGGCCAAACCCCTTACCAGTGGACAAAGGAATGGACCTTCTCTGGACCTCATGTCTCAGAGTCTCAGTTTCCTCTTGTGGACAGTAATACAGAATACAGAGGTTGAAAGAATGGGCTTTTTGGTCAGGCTGCCTGGGTCCACTATTCATGAACTATGTTAACCTGTGTTAAATTATTTAACTTTCTGAAACCTCATTTTTAGTAGCTATAAAATGCAGAGGCCAGTACGTACCCCATGAAGAACTATGAAAACAAAGTGTCCAGTAATGGTGTGGACCCTCCACTGCCTACTGTAATGCTACGAGAGAGCTGTCTTCCAAGATGCATTTATTAATAACTAATCTCCCCATCTATAACTAAGACATATAATTAGTAAACTTCTGATAAAGATATATACCAGATCAGTTGAAATAATGTCAAGAACAAAGAAAATCAAAATTTATTTAGCCAAAAAAGTCTAAAGAATAAAAAATGAATAGCGAAAGTGAAAGACTGTGACAGATATACCTTGAACAGGGATCTCCCCATAGTTTGGTCTCTTATCTGACAGCGCTGTCAAGGGTTTGGATGCAGAGATTGTACCACTTATAGAATGTCTCTGAAATCATAAGATAAACGGTATCAAAGTTAGCTTAAATCTAGAGCTGGGACTCACAAATAAAGTCAATGTTGTAGAGAGTAAATATTTAGTTATGAATTTGCATAATTCTTTCCACATGATTATAATAAGACTAACCATACACACACTTACAGGCATATAATGCAAATCAATACACTATTTTAAAAATTCACAGAAATATCCCATGTGCCCATTACTGTTTACCCCAATGGTAACATGTACAGTATAATATCACAACCAGGATACTGACATTGATACACACAAGATAGAGAACATTTGCATCACCACAAGGATGCCTCCCATGACTTTTGTATAGTCATACTTTCCTTCCCCACATCACTGACCCCTGGTATTTTGAGTGTGATCTCATTATTTTGTTTAAAGAAAATTCTTAAATATTACATACCAATCAGCTAAATATGAAATGTGCTCCTACTACAACTGCCCCAGTACAACCCGTCATCTTGATCCAGCACCACTGCAGTGGCTTCCCCACTGGCTTCCCCATCTCTGATCTTATACCTTCTCTCCTCTGCTTCATCTCCTGCCATCTCTAGGTAATGCTCAAATACCACCAAACTACTTATTTTCACACAGTCCATGGTGTTTACATCTCTGTCCTTTCTGTCATGCTTATTTCCCCAGTCTTTTTTTTCATCTAGTGAGCATCAAACTACTTATTTCATATTCCCAGGAGAAAAGTATGCACGGCTCAACTTCATATCCTTATCAACAGTTGATATGGTCTTTTAATTTTAGCCATCTGAAAGGGTACATAATGGGATCTTATTGTAAATTTAATTTTTATCTCCCAGTGACTAATGATGTTGGACATCTTTTCATGTGTTTACTGGCCATTTGTGTATCTTCTCTTAGGAAGGGACTTTTAAAATCTTTTGTCTGCAGGGCACCTGGGTGGCTCAGTTGGTTAAGCATCTGTCTTTGGCTCTTGTGTTGTGGTCTCAAGTTTGTGAGTTCGAGCACAGACCCTGCTTTGGATTCTCTCTCTGCCCCTCCTCTTCCCTCTCTCTGGCGCTCGCTCTCTCTCTCTCTCTCTCTCTCTCTCTCAAAAATAAATAAATAAACATCTGTCTTTGGCTCAGGTCAGGCTTGCAGTTTGTGAGTCTGAGCACAGACTTGCTTTTGATTCTCTCTTCTGCCCCTCCTCTTCCCTTTCATGCCTTCAAAATAAATAAATAACGTTAAAATCTTTTGTTCATTTACTGGTTTATTTTCACCTAAGAAGACAAATACATCTTAGAAATTGCCAAGTACCTTTGACAGGATAAATGTATTGCAACTCATATCTCCCCAGTCTTTCATCTCTTAATGTTTTTTTTGTTTTGTTTTGTTTTGTTTTTTTTGAAGGAGAGAGTATAGAGCACGAGCGGGAAGGAGCAGAGAGAGAGAGAGGAGAGAGAGAGAGGGAGAGAGATACAGGTAGAATTAGGAAGGGGCTCCAGGGCTCTAAGATGTCAGCACAGAGGCCACTGGGGCCCTAATCCCACAAACTGTGAGATCAAGGACCCAGCTGAAGTCAGACACTCCAACTGACTGGAGCCACCCAGGCACCCCTCCAGTCTTTCATTTCTAATTATCTCCTTCAGAGCAGTTTCAGCCATTGATGCCCAATTTATTACTTTCTATTTTATAATTCATCTTTTTGTGTCCAAATTGTGAAAATCCTGGCCTTCCAAGGCCAGGGATGATTTCTGTTTTCACGCAGTTTCAGCTTTAGCATGCAGCACATTTAGGTCTTACAGTCAATTTGTTGTTTTTGTTTTTTTTTAAGTTTATTTGAGAGAGAAAGAGAGACCATGGGGAAGGGCAGAGAGAGGGAGAGAGACAGAATCCTGGGCAGGCTCTGCACTGTCAGCATAGGAGTCTGACAAGGGTTCAAACTCATGAATCAGAGGCATGACCTAAGCTGAAATTTCAAAAAGTCGACACTTTAACCAACTTATCCACCCAGGAGCCTCTAAAGGCTTGTGCTTCTTTTATACATGCTCGAGTGTGGTTGTGGGTTATTCTTTTCCCCTATGTTGATTCTAGCTGTTCCAGAATCCTTTGTTGGGAAGGCTATCCTCTCCATTGAATTACCTTGGGCAATCTTTGTTGAAAAAATCAACTGACCTATTGCTGGGATTTTCTATCTATTCTGTTCCACTGCCTATGTTTAAACTTAATAATAACTGCAACTCTAGTTATTTGTGGATGGGAGTTTACCAGCTTAATAAAGACTTTGTAAAAAATGAATAAATAAACAAACTGGGGTTGGTACCACAATCAGTCTTGATTACTGTAAGTGTTGTAAATCAGGTAGTATAAGTCCTCCCTAAATTTGTTTCCTTTTTTATCCCCAGATGCTCTGGATATTCAGGTCCTTGAATTTCCACATAAATTTAAATTTTTATTATCAATTTCTACAAAATAGCATGCAGGATCGTTTGGGATGGAAGTGAATCTAACGTAAGGGAGAACTGTGTCGATAATAACAACCAGCTTCCAATCCATGAATATATCTTCCATTTATTACTTAATTTCTCTCAGCAATGTTTTATACTTTGCACTGTGCCAGATTCGTAAAGTATTTTGTTAAATGTATTGCTACAAGTATCTAATTTTCAAAAAATTTAATGTTTATTTATTTTTGAGAGAGAGAGACAGAGGCAGGGAGGCATGAGAGAGGGGAGACACAGAATCTCAAGCGGGCTCCAGGAGCTGGAAACAGCAGAGTCGGACATCGGCCCAAAGTCCTCATGAACTGAGATCATGACCCCAGTTCAAGTCAGACACTTGAACCTACTGAGCCAAATCTCTGGCTGTTTCAGTATTCTCACCTTAAAATTATTCACTGGAGTGACTAGATCTAAGAGTTAGCAAGAGGGGTCCTCAAGACATAGCTAATCTTTATAACCTTATTCTTTGTAAGTGACATTCCCATGCCTACACTCTATTCATCAGAAGTGAGTCAGGAAGTCCAACATGGTTCCATGCTAAGAGTGTGACTACCAGGAGGTGAAAAGTCACTGAGCATATTTGAGAGGTTGAGTACCCAGTTACTCAAGCGGATCCTCTAGGTCTTTTGAGCTTATTTTGCTACCTTTTAAGGTAGGTCTAGCATAGTGTTTACTCAAGAGCTGCTATTTAGTTCATTTCATGGTGTGCCCCTTTAGGGGTCTCTAAGCCCCAAGTATTGCAAGATTTCCACAGACTATGACAAATCCTCAAACGACTCCCTCGCTCCTGTGTGAACTATGGGAAGTGTTTGCTTAACAGCTCCCTGGTAATTCTATTTCTGAAAATTGTCTATGCAGCTCAGGAGAATTCACCCTGTGATCAAGTACTTTAAGCAAAGACTCACAGGATGCCTCTGCAGAGTTCTAGACCCTTCCCTGTGTGTAGCTCCCCTTCCTCCCAGGTCCTCTCCTGCAAATTCTAGCTCTCTCATTCTTCCACGCTGATCTGGGTCTTTCAGACCCAACCACTGCCCTGCCTCCATCTGATCATTTCCCCTGTACCCACCATCTGAAACCTCCCTACAGGAGCCACGTGTGAATTCCAAGCAGGACTTTCTAACTTGTTCCAGTCTGTACTGCTCATTGCATGTGTCTGAATATAACTGCTTCCTATAATTTGTCCAGTGCTCGCTGCTTGGGGTGGGCAGAGCAATCTGGCCGCCACTCCCGTGGCTGTGCTAGAAGAATTCCTCACCAGAGAGCTTGGAAACTAACAATGCCAAATTTGGGCCTATTCCAGAGATTCTCATTCACTAGATGGCCCAGGAATCTGGTGATTTTATGCACAATTAGGTTTGAGGCCACCAAAGCAATCCATAACAACCAAGTGACCACAGTTACTAAATGGGACTTGTATAACTTTTCAACTTTACAGGTGAGAGATCTTTTACCTCCTTACAAAGATTTGCAAAGTCATGTTTCATACATTAAATTTCAAACTGACATATACCATTTAAAGAAACTTCACCTTATTTGAAGTTTATACTTGCACCTTTATTTTGCTTTTATTTGTATCTTGAGTGGGCTTGAAAAGTGCGATTACCAGAGAGCATAAAGAGCATTGCCAATCTGGGCACCTTGCTGGCTCAGGGGCTTGGCTGCTGCCTCAACTTGGCTCAGGCCGCGATCTCAAGAAGCTTGTGAGCTTGAGCCCC